GAATGATACGGCTCACACCAGCTGTGTACTGGAATAATTTGAAAGGAGGTGTTGATGTTATATCCAGGTACCTACGAACGCTAGCGAGATCAAACTGCAGCGAAAACCCAGTTGTTTCAATTATAGCCAGGATACTATGCATGCAGGATAACAATGCTGCAGTAGTATACAGACTACAAAAAGCGAGAGAGTCGAGTTTACTACCTTCTACAGCTGAAGAGACCCACCCTGTGCACAGGGGTTATGCCATGCTTCGGCACAGGGTCACAAAAAGTGAAACATTTGGGGCGTTCTGTAGAGCTCTGGATAAAGAATGGGTGGAGTCGGGAGTGAGTGCTGCTGCTAACGGTATGTCAGACCTCGATGTAACTGAGAGCACGTGCAAGATAACCCCCATGTTTCGAAGAAATGAGGCGGAAAGATACAACAATGGCACGCATAAAGCGCGGCGCCTGAACAGAAGCATTTTCCACACTCGAGTTGCTTTTTCTGCAAGTTACTGCGTTTTATGTACTTGGACGCTGCGCGGGTCAAAGGAGGGCAAGCTTAAGATTAAGCGTAAAGGCTTAAAAACAATTCAATGGTGTTCTAGCTGCCTTCAAGCAATCTGCTCGAGCTGCTGGGGTGACTGGCATTCCAGGCCTACACCTAAACGAGCGAAGCCTACCACTACTGACGTCAGAGACTTTGAGAGGACGTTGCAGCCTTTGAAGCGCCGTTTAGTATAGGGAACATAAAGTTATCCATCACCAGTTCGCATAGAGTTTGGTCTGAGGATGATTAGTAACTACTAAATTCAAGTGTGAGAGCTGTGTACTGTTCTAGAAAATGAGGAAGAATTGTGAGAAATACAATGGGAATTTGTAGGTATATCTACAAATGTGCACTTCAGTGGCTACAAAAGGTACATAAAACAAGTAGACGTCTACCATAAGTAGATTCTACTAACCACAAGTAGATTCTACTTCAGAATGGAGAGTTTGTAGACGATTTTGGTACCTTTTGTAGACATTTGGTCCGATGTTTCTTCGCGGTCCACAAGAAAAAATCAACGAGCTCCCCCGTCGGAACGCATGGTGAGAATTCCAATGTGCCGCATATTAACATGACGGGCAGAGAGAGCCCATTCAGATGAACGTAGTGTCGTATATTAACTCCGACTTTGACTGGAGAAACGAAAAAGATACCGATCGGGACGTCAGAATAATCGTCTACTTATCCGAGCACAGGCTTAAGTTTCAGTGTGACTTTCTACGGAAGCCTGCGTTACTCCATGTGACGTTCTCGCGCTGTAAGTACTTGAAGCACTTATCATATCTACTCCCCACTCTTCCTTCCCCTTGCCCCTCCTCCCCTCTCACACCCCCCTTTGCCACCCTACTTTCTCAAAAATTGTTCCCCTATCATACCTCTCTACCCCCCACAATTGTGGGTCTCCAATTTCCCGTACAGTATTGCCCGAGACAAACAAAGAGAGTTGTGTAGAGAAGGTAAAGTTTACTCGGGCTACCAGACCGCGCTCACCCTTGTAGATCCCGGCTAACGCCGAGACCACGTAGTGGTTATTAGTTTCGTCCGACACCGCCCTCCATCGTCACACCCATTAGGCCCTGCCGCTGCTGTGGCGGCAGGGGCCGCCAGCGCCGGAGCCTCGGCCGAACGCCGAGGGGCGAGCAAAGTAGAGAACGACTCTTGACTTTGCTATATTCCGACAACCCGGAGGGCGCGAGGTCACAGAGCGGCCGTCGCCGCCGACCTAAATAGTGCACCGGAGTGCCAACTGTAAACCAGTATCCTTAGTATCCTTCCCTTCTCATACCACAACCATCGCCACATCGACAGATACAAGTGTCAGCAAATGTGGGACACGTGTGTACGGTGCAGGCTGATAGTTACGGATGAGACGGGTACAGTACCAGATTGCGTGGCGAGGGGGTTCTGACACGAGAGAGCGCTGGCAGCCCTGAGGTTATATACGTACCATAGGCTTAGACTCTAAGCCTTAGAGGCAACCTCGCAGGTGTTGTGAGGGAATCGTACTGAATTACCGCCTGTGTACAAACGGGGCAACGGCTAGGGTACAGTACAAGCGTCTGCGGGGAGAATGAGCGAGAGGCGGTGCGGAAACAGTGTGATTAAGGGCATAGAGAGAAGAGTGGTGAGACACCAACGAGGGTCACAGCGAGGTTTTCTTCGTAGCGCTCTTCCGGAGGCTGGGCTAAGCCACTTCCTCTTTCGGCTAAACGGGGTTTCCTCAAGCTGGCACCCCGTAGAGGACAGGCAGCCCGAGCCAATGAGGGCTTGCGCGTCGAAGTAGTTTGACAGTACAGTCGACCCTACGCATTAGTGCCGCCCTGTGTAAGGACTAATAATACGGCACTAATTCGGAGCGGCACAATCAGAAAGCAGAATCACTACCCGGCCAGAACTCCGTTATTAGAGTCTGCTGTTGTTGCCTTTGACTCTGAGAGATCTCATGCCTAGCTTCTAGAAAAGCTCGTTTTGCGGACCTCAAGTGCGAAAAGGCATTGCTCACATCGCACTCCACACCCAGACTCTCCAAAGATCCAAACAACCTTGCTAGCACTACAGCACTCGGTACGGCCCGCCTCTCCGTAATTTCACACTCGTCTTCTGCCACACAATCATCCATCATAGCATCACTGGCAGACTGATTCTGTAGCTCTCCACCATAATGTATTGAACCGCAAGCACCACTAATAGAAGCTTCTGCCACAAGCTCATTAGTCTCGATCTCAATCCATTCCTCCACATCTTTCCTACAGAATTCTGCAGTTTCTGCAAGGCTGTCTTCTGGCACCAGGCTCAGTCGGGAGAGAAACCCTACTATACCATCCACCATAGATTTATCAATTTCTGTTTCATTTCGACCAACTTTCCGACCTGCAGCAGATGCCCAACCTCGATTTTCTGTGCAATCGCAAGGCGCGTACGCTTCGCTTTGGCGATCTTTTCAGGATTCATGTTAGGGTCTTTCAGTGAGGTGCCATCACGTCACCAATTGAGCTGAGGCGCATGAGGAGTGGCCGATGACGACGTCGTGCATGACACGTGGCAGAACCTGTGTCTGCCGGTTTTGGCGGCACTAATTCGAGGGTGGCAATAATGAAAGCGGCACTATTGCGCGTCCCCCCCCTGTACTGTACGGCAGTACGGAGGCGGTCACATGTTCCCTCGCGTGGCTACTGAATGCGTCCGGAAGGGTAGGGGGTGGTACAGTACTGTATGCCGTGCAGCTTGGACGGCGCCCTTGGCCATGGGCGAGAAGTGGACCATGGTGGTCCTGCATACTATGCAGCGCCGGCCGCCCCATGGTGTTTGGTAGAGCCGCCGCCGCCCTGACAAAAGAATTGATCCACGAAATGCACAAAAGCTCACATCCTACATGCGAATAAGGGTGTTGTGGCAGGAGGTACAGGTGGCTAGAAAACAGGGATCTCGATACTCGATAGTATCGAGTCGATACTATACAGTGTTATTTTCTGGATGCACCCAGTGGTGCATCCAGAAAATAGCACTCTACAAAAGTGTGTACGAATGAGAAAAGTTACAGTGGCGCTGGTTCTAAATCAATGAAATGTGTGCTACATTTTGAAAAGCTGTTCATGATTATTGGAGAAGATGTGCCGTTCAAGGGTGGACATTGATACTGTAGTCCTGTATTGCACAGAAGGACACACCGTACTGTACAACCTTTCGTACAACCTTAAATTCAGGAATTTCCCGTTCCAACAGATCGGATGCGCCGTCAGAAACTCCCTTACACCCACAGCAGTGGATGCTGTAACAGGGACCATCATGACCATCATGGCTGATTTGAGCAGCTACTTTTTCAGTGTGGGAACGGTGCACCGGTAACGGTAGATATTCGCAGTACACTGGTCCTGCGATGATTGGAAAGATTGCCAGACTTTTTCATCAACGGGGTTCTCAAAGGCCTGGGTACTGTTTACCGATCCTCGGTCGAGAGGCTGGACTGGCGATCGGCCCGCGATCGGTGAACCTCCAACTTTCATGATCGGAACCGTCATATGTTTTATCTGAGAGGCATTTTGATTTGCAACAATCATGGTGAGGGCTACATACAGTGCTACAGTACTGCTTAGAACATTAATTTTCACATAAAGCGAACGGTCTTGTCCAAGCATGCAAGGACATAGACGACCAGATCCTCTTGCTGTGGGCTGAAGATCCGACTGGAAAGGTGAGAATGGAAGTACTGTAGAAGATACAGTCTGTAGAAGATACAGTGTTGCGGTGCATTTTGGAGATGACGCTATAAGTCTACGCGGAAAACAAAAACAGTGGTGGAGGTTAAAAGATCCGATCCGATCATCAGAGGACCTCCTATGTTTGAAGGCCGGACAAGGTATGACAACTTGCTGATAGACAGAAAGAAGATGTCAAAAGGTTTAAATAGAAGGACGAGATGTTTCAGGAAGGGCGTGTAATCGTTACCCATTGGTATCGGGAACGTTACTACAAAGCCAGGCATCGATGGCCCCCACCCGTTCATGCTATGAAGCGATATCTGGGCGTCGGACGGCATTGACTTCATACAGACTGCCTGTCAGCTGCCGCCGGGCGAGACACCCGCCGTTTCTCTCCGAAAAGCCACGGCGTAGAGCAGCGCTGTAAAACACTTGCTCTGCCCTATCGAAACCATTCTAACTCACGCTGCACCCCCCATCATGCGACTTTACTCTCAGCTTGCACTTTCCAATACTGTACTTGTACCCTTAAGGGTAGTGACAGTACAGTATCCAGCTGTATACATAGCTCTTGTGGTGTGTACGTATACACATGCTGAGAGGCTGCCAAACCCCAATCACCAAGTAACCACTTCAACATCATTTCGTTTCGTTTAAAGCTCCCCCCACAGCCAAACCAATTTACCCTGCCCCCTTCCCTTTGCCCCCCCCCCCCCCCCCCCCTCACTTGTTAATCGAAACAACTGGTACCCCTTTCCACTCCCTCGAATGACCTCTATTCTCCTCACTCGCGTTATCCTTCTCCTTTTCCTATCCTTCTTCACCCACAATGCTGCACTCGCCTTTAATCCTGTGAAACCCAGATTCCGCGATGTCACTGAGGCGGCCGGAATCGAAGTTCGAAGACTTAAAAAGTACGGCGGCCCGTCCGTCTCCGACCTCGACAACGATGGCTATCCTGATCTGCTCTTCTGCCATCACGGCGGCCCCCACGCTGCCATCTACTTCAACGACAGAAAAGGTGGATTCATAAAGAACTCATGGAGTCTATGGTCTGATATGCATGGCATCGCCGTCACTCCCCGCACCCCCAAATCACTCGCAAAGCTCATCTCCATATCTTCCGGAGGTGGCAAGGGACTCAACCCATCCGCTCCCCAGATCTTTCAAGTCGATTCTAGTACGAGGAACATAACCGAAATCACAAGCCAAATGGGCATCCAAGCAGCCAAGGGTCGCCAAAGAACAGCCATTTACTTGAACATGAAGTTTAACAAAAATCACAAGTACCCAGACGTTATCTTTACAAACGCTCAGCCGAAGATTCACAACAGAGACTGGCAGTACGCCTTTGAGAGCGACGGCAAGCGCTACTCCCGCCGCAACCTCAAGGGGTACGAACGCAACCCCAATTGGTACATTTCCGCCACGGACCTCGAAAACGACGGCACCATGGAGATCATAGGCTACCAAGACCTCTCGTTCTTCAAGCTCATCGGCCCCTTCCGCTTCAAGGAGATCACGGCCGACGTCCTTCCCCCCGGCACCCCGACGACGGGCACCGTCGCCGTCGCCGAGTTCGACATGGACAACGACGGCGACATGGACCTGTACGTAGCGCGCACCAAAACCGGCGATCTCAAATGGCTCAATCGCTCGCTCCCCTCGTTCCCAGACTTGCTACTAGAGAACGTCAACGGCAAGTACGTCGACGTGAGCAAGCGAGCCGGCGTGCCGACCACGTCTACTTCGCGCGGCGTCAGCACCGCCGATTTGAACAACGATGGCTACGTTGACATTGTCGTCCCGCAGTACGCGTCGTCGGACATCGTCCTCCTCAACCAGGGCGACGGGACGTTCAAGAAGGTGTTCGGCCTGATCCGACGCCCCAGCAATGTGCGCGGCGACCATGTGGCGGCCGTGGACTACGATCTGGACGGGCGTGTGGACCTGGTTGTTAGCCAGGGCGACCAGCATGACGAATCAAAGGGTGGGTCGTATCGAATACTGAACAATCGACTGCCGCCGAGCGGTAATAGAAAGTGGCTATCGGTGAGGGTAGGGAACGCGCCAGATGGCAGCGCGACGGCGTTGCATGCATTGGTGCAAGTTATGGTTGGAGGAATGACAATGACGAGGCGCGTCGGCAGCACAGGGGATGCAATCTCGCGGTCATTCTTGGAAACGGTACATTTCGGATTGGGGTCACGGGGTAAGGTGGACAAGGTTGTGGTTCGGTGGACCAGTGGGTTCCAGGTGGTCAAGCGGAGGGTTCCGGCAAACACGAAACTGAGCGTAGGGTCGTTCTGAGGGATGACGTGGCCAGGACTAGAGCAGGTAGATTGCGTAGAGATGTACTGTACAGTATACCGTACGGTTAGTTGACAGCGTGGCATTGGGAACACCTCTACGCTCACAACGACACAAAAAAAAAAACAGAAAGACTGTGCAGCACGGTCCAGAGCATGTTGCATAGGCAAGCGCGGCTGTGCTCAGTGTGCGTTTGGGATGCCAGGGAAATTTTGAAAGGCTGTGCAGGCACGCAGCAGCGCAATGTGCACAATTTTTCGATGGTTGGCTAGCAGCGCGGCAATGTCGAAAGACACTCGGCAAAAAAAAGTCAGGCCGATCTTTCACGAACGAAGCCAGCTAGTGTCTAGCCGACAAGTGACCTCAAATGAGGCCATTTGACCTCATAAAAATAATAAAATAAGTTGAACCTCTATCTCAAATGAGGAAAATTGTCGGCTAGACACTAGAGTACGATGGGATGCTTCAACGTACTGTACAGTATGATCATAGAGGCTTATTCGCCAGTTGATGTCGGCGGAGACACAGCATACTGTGCACGCTGGCGAATGGTAGGGTAAGCAATGTGGTATGCCTGGAATGGATGATGAAGAGCGTTGGCAGGCAGAGGAACGAGTCGTAACAGTCGCAACCTGCCGGAAGATTCTTGCGCGCGAGCAAGGCACTTGTCTCGCAAATTCGAGTAAACGATTGTCGACGGTTGCCCAGGCAGGACATGTACCATTCTTCTGGCATGAGACGGTGCCCGTTTCCTGCAGTATGACATGCAGTGCTAACGTGAGAGCGCGTGGTTGCTTCCGAGAAAAAAAGATCATACACTTCCATTTTCTCTGCCAGTCCAGTCTCTTCGCACTTCGCAGTTTACAGTACCAAGGGTACTCTAGGCGATGGGACTGTCCCATTTTGCTCTGTAAACCCTACTCTTTACAGTCGTGTGTCCCAGACCCACTCACACCGTTTCAAAGATGCGCTCCCTTATTGAGCCAGAACTCATCAAGCAGTCCGCCTATTTTGCGTTAGTTACCGTTCCTCGAGTGCCAAAAAAGCGCGATAATCCTCGCCGATACGGAGTGTAGATGCAATTCTTCTGTTGTTGTTCAGTAAAACAATCCCCACTGATATCATTTCAAATCGCACTCGAGACAGCAATTCTGAATGCATCCGATGGGCTTCAGGTATTAAACACAACGTGCATGATGCATAGCTTTGAAGATATTGAACAAACACCTTTGTGTAATGTTCTCAAAAGTACTGAATCACCGGGCGTCCAACAAAAAAAAAAAAAAAAAAAAAAAAAAAACGGTCGGACGTCATGGCCTGCTATATTGTGGTGTTGATTGCCGCAACGCTGCACTCCCCAGAGCAAGTTTCAGTTTTCTGACCGACCAAATAAAAATCCCGAAAAAGCTGGATGCGAAAACGAAGCCACATGAGGCCATGTGTCACCGACAAATCAGAGAGTCAAGCAGGTTCTACTGAGTGTGAGAGTGACGACGCCAATAGTGACGACGCCAGTACTGAAGGAGAGTGGACTAACCCCACGTTTGGGGGACAATCCCTGTACAGCACGATTTTTCCGGATTTTATGGAAAAAGAGAAAACCTTCTGCCCTTCAAGTCCTGCCTCCTGGCACCTAGGCACGTGTCTCAGGACTACCACCGCCCCAACAGTCGTCAAGAATATGTCTCACCTCTCTTCTCACAATGACGATGAATTCTGAAGCCTACACTCAAGATGCTCTGGAGAGCTTTCATCTTTCTCTCTCTCGTTTCTCCTCGCCCACGCATTCTCCCTCTCCATCGACTCCAGCCTCCCTCATAGTGAGCAACACTACAGTACTATCCTCTCACGCTCACACCACTTAACCCTCTCCGCTGCCTGTCTTTCCGCAGCTGATACAGTAAACCGACCACATCCTCTCACCCACCCCCACCAGACGGCTTCCTTAAACTGCCGATGTCCCCATCACCCTCCCTCCCACCACTTCTTCAATGAACCGCAACTCATCCACCTGACGTCAAAGAAAGCGCCGCCCTCCCCCTCAAACCCGAGTCCAACTTCCCGACTTTCCCGTGGCCCCCGAAACTCGCACCTCGTCCCCCTTCACCGACGAGGAGCGAGCCACGCACGCAAGCAGGTGCCCCTCCCCCCTGCGCCGCCCGCCGTCAGCCGCCCGCTGGCCGGCCACGTCGCACCCCCAGCCTCGTCCCTACCGTCGCGACCTCCCGCCTTCATGCGCCTCCGCCAGCCGTTACCGAAGAAGAGGGAGCGCGAGCGAGCGTGGGCGAGAGCACCATTTCCCGTCGCCGCACCTCACCCCCTGCGCGCGAGCCCGGTCGTGCGAGCAGCCCGGAATCGTTCCATTCCGGCGCCAATAATGCCCCGACTCCTTCCGCGGTCACTTGTCGCACGGCCCTGCACAAGCATGAGGTGGAAGGGACGGGTCGAGCCTCGACGTCCGCGCGGAGCAGAGTGCGGCTGAAAAGTGACGGCCGCGCCGATGACGTGAAAGACGTGTGCGAAGCGCGTGCGGGGAGAAGCGCGGCCCGGAGGCAAGTAAAGTATACAATAGAGAGATTATAGTGTTTACGCAAACCAATATGGTAAATTGATTTTCGTTTTTTTGGCAATGCGTCCACGTGGCAAGCCCATTTGCGAAATTCGCAAATCAAGAGGGGCAAACAAATGTGAATTATGACGAGTTTGTGAAGTCGTTTCACGAACTGTATTGGCGGGAAACCGCATCTTGACTACTACGGCAAACGAATGGCAACAGCAAAAACGCAGTACACCCCACAACCCACCGCCACACCGATCATGGCAAACGTTTTAGAAGAGCTGCCCGTCGAAGAGGGCAGCCCAACTATCACGCAAGTGGCACCAGGATACCAAACCGTAGTTTTGAGTGCCGCTCCTCGGTCAGCATCGAAACCAGGCCGCAAATCGAAGTTTACGAGCAACGAAGACCTCATAATTGCTCAAGAGGTATACGCGGCTGAGGCGCACGTTGCACCCCATGGCGAGACGCTGGCACGTTTTGAAGCTGCTGCTGTCAAGGCAAACTCCAATCCCAACTTCGCGCACCAGTCAACAGGTAAACACATTCAAGATCGTTTCAAGAAACTGGTGGAGCAGTTTGTGACGCGAGATGCAAAGGATAGGGTGCGTTCTGGTGTTGGAGGCGAGATAGGTGAGCTGGATGAGCTCCTTGCAGATATTGTCGAGGCGAAGAAAGATGTGGAAGCAAAGAAGAATGGGGGTATGAAAGAAAGTATGGAACAAGAGCAAAAAAAGGTTGCTGCGGGTCAAGAACTCGTCTTGAATGCGTTACGTGGGAAGCGTCGTCGTCGAGAGCGAGAGAGTTCTGACGATGAAAGTCGGCCCAAAACACGCTGTGCAGCCGTAGAAGATGGGATGCAAGCAATCAGCGTGGCGCTTCGCGAATCTGAAACTGCCTGATTCGATCTACAGCAACAGAAGCTTGCTTTTGCACGCGAAACTGCTGAGGTCGAAGCAACTCAGAGAGATGCAGACCGTCAAGAATGCGCAGAGGAGCGCGCGCTGCGTGCAAGCGAGCTAGCAGCGTACCGCGACTCCATGAGTAGCATGATGGAACAGAATGGAAAGCAGATGCAGTCCGTCCTTTCCCTAGTCACAACACTGCTCTCAAAGCAAGGAAGCGTGAACTTGTAATCCTATTACAAATAAAAGGTTTGCTTGACATCATTGCGCGTCCACCCTTCCATATGAATACCTCATTCTAATTTGCCGAGAGACTTATGTCTCTCAGACCAAATGGTTTGTGGAGCACAACTTCATCAAAAAGTCGCAGCATACGCGACGGCAGGAACATAGTGACAGAATGACAAGGCGCGGCAGTATTGTTTAGTCACTGGCTGAAGATGATTTTCTGAAGCGCCGAGGTTGAGTGCTTTATACGTTTTTCGAAACACAAGGGAGTGTGTCACATGGTCGAGGGACGGGATCCGGGCGAGACCTTAGGACGTGCGCTGGAAGGACATTGCGATTGGGATATATGTGAGGAGTGGCCGGCGGACGGAAGGCGGGTCACATCTGGAGAACAGGACAGTGCGGGCAGTGTATGGGGGTACTGATGCTGCGGGAGACAAACTTGAGGGACATGGAAGTTCGGTGTTGTGCCTGGCGTGGTTGGCGGACGGAGGCCGAGTGGTGTCGGGAGGAACGGACGACAGGGTGACGATATGAAAGTAGTAGACTGGCAAGGGGGTCATGACAGCAAAAGGGGTCGCGAAGATTGGGTTGCGATGTGCGGGGTGGTGTGTGACAGTTGAAGTCGTGTTAACACGATTGCGTGTGGAGGACGCGACGGGAGCGTGACAATATGGGGTATGGGAAGGGTAGAAGTGGGCGGCTCGCTCAAGGGACATGTCACGGAGTTTCGGTGCATGGCGTGGTCGGCAGACGGTGATCGTTTGCGTCCGGGACGAACTGACCGCCGGGACGAACTGACCGCACGATTTTAATGCGTAACGTCGATACAGACGAGGGACTGGGAAAGAAATGGAGGGAGGGAGGGACACGGTTGGGTGTGCTGCGTATCGTGGGCGGCTGCGTGTCGTGGGCGATGGAAAGTCGTCGCTTTTCATCGGTCCATGGCGTGGGTTCGTTGAGCAGAACGACGCCGCTGCGGTGGTGCAGCGGGGAGGCTGCGAAAGGATCTCTCTTGAGCGCTTGAGCTGCATGCAATGGTCTACACAGCTGCTGTGAATCTCGAGCAGCACACCAGCTAAAAGGCAGTTAGATGAGAGCGCTGATCCAGGATCCTCATCCCTTTTTTTGAAGGTGTGAGGTAGCAAAGTAGTCCACCCCACAATTCGTGAGCAAACCGCCTGCTTTGTGTGGTCTTTTTGTCGCCTGAGCACCATGGTGCGTGCTAGAGAGTCTCGAGATCGGCTCTTTGAGGACGCACAGAGCAGAGGGGTCTAAGTTATACTCCTACGTACGTATTCAGGTGAATTTTGCGTAAACAAATGTCTACACTTGCTCTTGTTCTAAAATTCATCATTTTCATAAGTCTCTATCACATCGCGATTTCTCACATTTATTTGTGAAACTCTTGTTGCGTAAACCTTAAATTACGCAAACAGAATTCTGCAGTTCAGCGGCCAGAATTCTGCAGTACGTATTACACGTATCAAATCTATTGCAGAATTCTCTAATCGGTCGTGACGATAATTGCAGAAATGTGCCATTCTTGTCACAACCTTTTCTGCAATTGCCAAGCCGTGAGAAATACACGTGCACTGCGTGGGCAATACGTGTACCACTTTCGGCGGGAACTGTAGATATGTGTTTTTCTCAATGGTACGTCCCCTACGACCTTCCGCCGCATTGTGCATCCTCAGCGATTTGGTTTTCAGCACCATGGCGGAGGTCATCCATGATGTGGAGGAAGAGGAGGCTGTCGGTACTTAGTCTCCGAAGCTGACGGACTCGGAGGAGACAATCGACACTACAAGCGGGTCGAAGACGCGTGCGGCGGGGCGCAAAGCGAAGTACACGAGCGAGGACGATCTCGTCATCGTTAAGGAAGTGTGTGCAGCAGGCGCGCTTGTAGGGCCGTACGGTGCCGCGCGCAACCGCTTCGAAAAGGCGGCGTGCTGCGCCAACAAAACGGGCGCGCTGTCGTGTGTCGTGTCTGGCAAGAGCATACGAGACAGGTACCGGAAGCTCCAAGAAACATACGATAAGAAGGACAAACGCGAGCGGGCGGCGTCGGGACTTGATGGAGATCTGGACGAGCTTGATGACATCCTTGCAAGTATGAATGAAGCGCGCGGCGATGCCCACGCGAAGAAGAGCGCCGAAAAGTTTGCGAAAGAGGGGAGGGAAGAGAAGAAGGAGGAATGTGGGAGAAGGCTGGTGCTGATGGCGATGAACCGCCGGGCTGTTCTCAATGAAGGCGGCGCAAGCGATTCCAACGGCGATGTCGACGTCGGCGCCGATGCGGAGGCTCCTGTCTCGACGAAAAGGCGCAAGATTGCACCTTCAGGAGGTGATGACCTATGCGCGTTTGCGGCGGCGATACGCAGTGCGGACATGGCACGCGTTGAGATTGAGCGCGAGCGCCTAGAGCTCGAGCATGACCGCCTGAAGGAGGATAAGGTTGAGCGCGAGCGCGAGCGCGAAGACCGTCGTGAGGACCGCGAAGCACACAGCAGCCTTGAGCTCAAGAAGTTCAAGCTCATGATGGAGATGCTCTCCTCCACGAAGTAGCCTTGCTGTATTATTTCTGGCTTTAGGCTGTTTGCTAAGCGCTAAAATAAAGGGCCACCCTAGAGAGAGGGAATCAATGATCCACACTTGCCTCCCAATCTCACACACTTCACGCCTTTCTATTTGGAGCATTGGAGGATGGAGTACTATTTATCCTTTTGTGCGAGACGTACTCTTCAAGGGACGGAGGCAGACAGTTGAAATACTGCCAAATCGGGTTCGGATGTTGTCGTGCACTACAGCCACGGGTGGCGGCTGTAGGCAGAGCGACGCGCGTTCGGACGCGTAAGGAAATTCGGGAGACCACCCGGTGGATGACCGGAACCGGGATCCGGGCGCGGCTTGCGCGGTAGGGAAGTAGCAACGTAGTCAGCGATGGACCGGGTGAATTAAAGGAAAAACAGAACTAACAGAACGGACAGCACAGTAATTAACGTAGCGCTCGCGCGGTTGGGGGTCGAC